CCCCCACATACCAAGAGGATATCTCCTGCGGACTGGTGGTTGAAAACCTCTGGCCTAAAGGATCTGTAAACAACCATCAGTGAGGAATGACAAGCAGAACCTGGAGAGTCATGGTGCTGTTTAAAAAGCACCTGAACAGGCATGTGTGAGAGCTTTTCTACACAAGGCTGTTAATCCATTATATCTACTTTCATCACAAAATTGAGATCAAAGAAGTCCACAAAGAGCATTTCCTGTTCTGCTTTTCTGTTACGTCTAGGTAACACAGTGCTATAGCGGAATGATGAAGTTATACAAGTACATGTCCTTTCACTGCCACAAATAATACCTGCTTTAAAAAGTTCACCAAAACCCCTGCTTAAAAATAGAAATGAAACTGAAGGGTAACATGTCATCTAAAAAACCCATAAGCAATCCCAAGCAGGGAATGAGCACAAACTAAAATGTGTGTGAGGAAAAACTCAGAATTATTGCTTTTCCTTCAGAAGTTACACTTTGGCACGCATTCATTCAGTGCTTTGAATAGAATGGCATTTTGTCCTGAAAATACCTGGTAATTTTCCTTTGCATTTTTTCAGAGCTCAGCTTCAGTCCTTAAACAGGACAAGGTCTGTAATTTTAGCATCATAATATGAAGGCTAACAGGCTAACAATAAAATGACTTGCACTTTTGTTTCTTTCCCTTCTTTCCCACAAGTGAGATTGTGCTCAAATGAAATCTCTTCAAAAATAATTATAATCTCCCACTCCAGCAAAAAATGTGTATTAAAAGCATTTTGTGTTTCAAAGGAAGCATAAAGCTTACAGCAGAAACAGCCTTCTAGTATTTATCCAAATATGACATAAAGCAAAAGTTCATTGTCAATATTACTGATGTGTCTTGTTCCTTTGGCTTATGATTGTTGGCTTATGTCTCAAGTGATACCTGGATTTCCAAGTCATTTACATAAAGACACACATAATACAACAGAGAAATTTATATAAAAAGAGTATAACTATCTTAAAAATAAAGCGATAAAACAGAGTAGTGCCATAAGCTGTTACAAATCAGGGAAACCCCGAATGAACACATTTGTTTGCAAAGCTTACCACAGTGTCCACCTCTCAGTCCTTATCTGGGACAGGGCTCCAGAGGTTCGGTGCCAGTAGTAGGTAGCCTGCCTGTCTTGTTGTGTAGTAGTACTCTGCTGATCACTGGAGAGATGGTCTACTCTGTTTGCCAAGTTCATGTTCTGTAAAGCCACGGGAATGGCTGACCTGCTTCTAAATTGGGTGAATGGGAATCTACCCAAGGAAGTAAATTTTGTGCTGGACACATTACCATGTGGAAACATTGTGGGATTATAGGAACTTCTAGAAGATTTGGCACCCAAGGTCAATCACCAAATGTACCCCTGGTAGGGTAGCCGTCTCAGTTGTTGTTCCCTCCTTGTATTTTAGACTTTCACATCCCATCAGTCCAAGGCAGCACTGCAAATCATTAGGAAATAGTATTAAATACTATTATCATTAGGAATTAGTATTAAATCATAATAAATATGAGTATTATATCCCAGAACATCTGGAGAGCACCAGGATGAGGGCTTCAACTGTAAGGTCCCTGAGGTACCAGGAAAACGTTCTCAGCTTCTCTAGATTGTTGTCCAAGTCAGAACTGGGGTAGGCAGGGTGGGGCTGGAGGTTGCAATCTAGAGGAAGATAAGCAAGTTTACTTCCCATTGATTTTAGTGGGACTTAACTGTACCTTTCTGAGAACAGAAGCAAGGAGGCATATATGCTGCAGGGATTTTATAGTTCTGCAGGAATTTTATAGTTCTAACAGTGAAAATTGCACAAAACATCCTCCAAATGAGACATCCTATGGTCCCAAATGAAATGTCTTTAGTAGAACATCCATTCGGCAACATGCACAGTAATTGTTGAGAGAAAACTCCATGAAATCTTTTCTGTTTAATCTTATAATAATTCCAGGCTAGTTTTTTATGCTACTATTTTTCCCTCGCCTCAATGAATCATCATTACGGCAGGCACATAAATGGTATATTTTGCACCTAGCAACCTAGCACATTAAATTCCCATCTTCTGGTTACCACTGAACAGCTGCATCACATGTGGCAGAAAATGATAAACAGGTCTACAGTAAGCTAGTGCTGTATAATTTCCATTTCCATTTATTTCCTAAGCCATTTTATTACTATTCTAATGAAACTGTTGTGTGTTTATTTATTTGATGGAAACAAACATATTTTCCCTATAGATAAGAAATATACCAAGTATGTGAAACCAACACTCCTGATCTTAAAACTGTAGAATATAATGGTGGTTACATTACATTTTTTGAAAGAACTGTGTGAAAAATAAATCCTTTAAAAAAGAAAAAATAATATTTAATTACATTTTATTGTCTTTTTGAAAATACTGAAACATTTATTGCAGTTGCATGCACCACAATAATAAAAGCATAAACATACCTAGTAAAATAACTGCTATTGCTTATGGGTCTTTTCTCCCTGTAGGTTTGTATTTCTTTAATTGAAATATATGAAATTGCATAGTTATAGCAGAACAGTCTAAACAAAATGGTTTAATAGCAACAGGGAGAAAGGCTGTAAAGGAGTCACTATGCTACACTGTTGCAGCAAAACTGCCGAAGGTGGGCTAGATCCAGACTTAGTTACATTTTGAGTAAACTCATTAAATTCTATGAGATTTACTTTAGTCACAGCTAACCTAAGCCCTATTTATTTCAATGTCCTGTCCTAAGTTTGACTAGTTCTGGATCTACATCATGTTTTTAAGGCTGCTTAAAGACTGACAGGGATTGCAGGTGGCGCAGTGGTTTAAACTGCTGTGCTGCTGGGCTGGTTGATCGAAAGGTCGCCAGTTCGAATCTGCACAATGGAGTGAGTTCCTGTTGCTCTGTCCCAGCTCCTGCCAACCTTGCAGTTCGAAAGCTTGCAAATGCAAGTAGATAAAAAGATACCACTTTGGTGGGCAGGTAACAGCGTTCCGTGTACTTCGGTGTTTAGCCATGCCGGCCACATGACCAAGGAGAATGTCTGTGGACAAACACTGGCTCCCCCGGCCAGGAAATGGAGATGAGCACAGCCCACTAGAGTCAGGCATGACTGGACTTAATGTCAAGGGGAAACCTTTACCTTTACCTTTAAAGACTGACAGAGTATTGTTATACCCTTTTTGTGATGGCTGAGCCCTCTTGATGATCCAGTATCTTCAAGCAAACTACTAAAGAAAGTTTAAAAATACAAAATGAACAGCTTCTGAGTTGTGTAATTGCAATCAGTGACTGTAACACAGTGTGCATATAACCACCAAAATCAACAATATTTATGCCCTGTTCATTCTTGCCGCTGGCCACTGAAGGCTTCCATAGGAGTACTGGAAAGGCAAGCCCCATCAACAAAGTGGTTGCATGAAAGGTCCCATTTCATTCTTAGATTAGGAATGGGGAGTAGGCGCCGTGTCTGTGGCAGGCAGTCCCCACAGCCTCCAACCATGGTCCCAACCCTTGTTGCGTGCCAATATTGTAAATAATAAAAAGCTGCTTCTTCCTCTTTCCTCATAATGGCATAAGGAAACATCATTCTAGATCCTATTCTTTACCATTTCAGTTTCAAAACAACATAATTTTGACTCTTTTGGCACTTCATAACTACTCTCTATTGCATTTTAAATTTTACTTTTTTTTAGTTATTTTATGGTACCATGGAGGTTGGGCAAGCTATGGGCAGGGTGTAAGGGGGCAGTGTTGGAGTGGCAAAAACAGTCCCTGGACCTCCCTAAATTGCCCATCCTGTCTTTAGATTTTCATAACTAAAGTGCAGGTTTGTAATCAGTGACATTGTATGCAGATAGATAGCTTCACAAGTGCCATGTAATATCATAAAGACAAACTCTTTAAAAAACCAGGCAGTTAATAAGGCACACACAGCACAGTACTTCCTTTTCACATTCCCTTTCGATCTGTCAATCTCTCTCTCTCTCTCTCTTTTACTAGTTTTTAACTCCAGTCACAGCCATTTTTAAAAAACTGGATGATAGAAATATTACAGCTGATAATGTGTTTTGTATGTTTCTTTTCAAGATGACAGATGATTCTTCATTTCTAATTTTAATACTCTTTATGAAACAATGCAACAGCCTTGTGACATTTGGTAGTGCATCTTTTCATTTTTACCCTATTTCATTTCCCATCTTAACAGCAGCAAGAATAATAGGACAGTCAACTCAGAATGGTCACTCCTCCATCATTACATGCAGAAGTACTTCATAACTGAGAGGGCAATGGTCAGCTTCAGCACTTGCACTTACTGTTATCTGATAAGTGATACTACCAAGGAGATGACTGTTGACAGACAGATACCACTGGAGTTGGCCAAGCCCTTTCATCTCCGGTGACTAAGCTACTTGACAGAGATATCAATCCATTGTGTAATCTCCCATGGTAGAATATAACACAAGAAAGTGGCCACATCCCAACACTAAATGTCAGAATGTCAAAAATGACAAATTGGGATGATTTGCAACATCTCTGGGCTGGGTAGGGGGGAAACAAGGAAAGGAAGGAAGATGAATTGTGTATCGACGGGATGGTGTGAGATAGTAAACAAGTGAAACATAAGAAACTGGGAGTCGAGACATTATTTGTCTTTATGCATTTACATTTTGAAAAATGAAAATGCTCACAGTTAGCATTTTTTCCAAATATGTGACCACAGACACACAAAAATAGACCATAAGGAATGAGACCTCCTGCCTGGACTATGTTGTTTATGCTCAACAAGAATATAACGGTAGTTATTGTTTCTTGGAAAAAATGATGTTATATCTGTATCAGCACAACAGTAAAGCACATTTTCTTCCTACAAACCGAAAATCTATCATGTATTTGAGTACTGTTAACAGGTTGTGCTTCCTCTAAGACCTGAGGAGGAATGGTTCAGAATGTGGTGGTTATTGAGTTTTATAATTCTTTGCAGAGCTGATGTATACAGTTGAGCTTGCTGGCGGGCTTGGTGCTATTCTGCTGCTACTTGTTTGTTTAGTGACTATCTACAAGAGCTACAAGATTGAGATTATGCTATTCTACAGGAATCATTTTGGTGCTGAAGAACTAGATGGAGGTAAGCAAGCAAGCGTCTCCATACTTGTTTAACATGGATGTTGTTTTGAAATAAAGTGTAAAAATGCAGGCGGCAAAAACGGAGAGTGAACACAATAGCATTGCAAGATCACTAAGGGCAAAGGGGGCAAAGGGAGCTATTGTGGCATTTGACCTGTGACCACTGCTATTGTAAAAGGAATTGATCATATATTGAAAGAAATATGAACACCTAAACCTCCAACAGAAAGAATAATAATAAAAATTACAAACAGCATAATAGCAAAATATTCTACTCAACATCACCATATGTGGAAGTGTGTGAAAGGTCTTCCTGCTCAGAAGTTCCAAAAATACAAATTTTCAGTACCAACAGGTTCTGGTGTTATCTGCCATTTATTATGGTAGTTTGCTTGGTTTGGAAATGAAGGCCTGTCTAAACCTGGATTAAGTAATTGTAGCCAGGTAAAGAAGGTCTGTTTTGATCATGTTTTATATTTTCTATATCTGCTGGAAAAAATGAATTTAAAACAATTTACCTATCAAAATGAAAAAAAATCCAGGCTTGAATATTAATACTACTAGTTTAATATATTTCAGAGGAAGATTGGAACAGAAAAGTGATAGAGTATTTTATAATATCTGAAAACCTGGCCAATTTGTGACATACTATAATATAGTTTTGACAGAAGGATCTCTGCAGTGTCTTTCATTTTCCTACAATACTTATACATGGCCTCTAAGTAAAGGGAGCCCTGCCTCTGCCCTAAACAAACCTGCTAGGTCTCCAGAGTAAGCTTTTAGGACAATTAGGGTAAAACCTAGGAAGAAGATCACTAACTGCTTGGAGAGTCTGATTATGCAACTCAAGTAGCTAAATCACAGGAAAAAGATACAGATACACACCATGTTTCAAACCATGTTGCTTATTTCCAGCATCTCTGCTATAAAAGTGATCTTTAAATGATTGCTTGGAGACTTCCAGTTATGCATTATATATGACCTCACCATTTCCTGGGTATTAGTGTAAACTATTAAGGAGCTATCCATGGTGCTGAAATCTATCCCTAGAATTGGTTTGGCATCATGGAGAGCATCTTTAAAGGTCAGACTAAATCTCAGGATGAACTGTCCCAGTGATATTAGAGCTAAAATCCACTGCTGGCTTCTTCTCAGTGTACTTTCTACTTTTCTGTGATAGACTGTTTTGTTTTGTTTTTTGTCATGCAAGATCCTAATTTTTATTCTGATTTTTAAATCACTCTATTGCCTCTCTGGGTTCACTTTAGGGAATTAATCAACATTGTTGTTCTAGGCAGCCTGCAAATCTTTGGCTGACACACTTGCTATTTGACAAACAAATGATCTATACCTGGAATACAAAGAAAAGTGCGAGCATATGGAAGAAAACTCTATGTACTCACTCTTTTCTTTATAGCATTGCAGAGAAAGCCAATTAAAATGAGCAATGGTCTGTGAAGAAAATAGCAAGCACAGCTTAATCTGGTCATATGTGATGCACTATCAGAGCCCACAGGTAGGCAGCTAGGTGCAAATTAAAATGTGGAAAGATATTCAGGGCACAATCCTTGCATGTTTAGACAGAAAGAGTCCTGCCGTTTCCGAGATTCCCTAGCCAGCATATGCTGGGGCAAGGCCTCTGACACTTTTGACTGGCCTCCTTGCAGATTCAGGTCCACCACCTCCCTTCTTCCAGGTGCAGCAATGCTGGGTGCTGGGGCATAAAAGCCAGGCCCAGCTGTTGAAGGTTCCGTATCAAGTGAGGCTGTTCCTTTTTGCAGACCCACTTGATGTCAGCAAGCAAAACCTTTTTGTTCCAGCAGGCATTTGGGAAAGGTCTGTGAATTTGTGCTTGGTGTGTGTGTGGGGGGAGAGAGGTGGAGAGAGAGAGAGGTGTTTTTAATTTGTTTTTTTGTTCAATGTTAATATTTAATTGATTTAAGTAAATTTTAAACCACTTATTTTTTAATGTTTTAATTGAATTTTAATGTTGTGTGCCACCTTGTGGGAAGGTGCAATATAAATGCAGATTTGAAACATAACATACCATGTTGTTGAAACCTTCATGTTTTGGTGGATCATCAGAACATGACAAATTTCAGGTTTCACTACAAGGTAGCACATTTAGAAGAAATGTTCTTCATCCAAAAAGGGAAGATATAACTGTATCATTGTGTCTTTAAGATTATAAATCAAGGCACAAAAGAGTCTTGTGTTCATTTTGTATTAACATTTACACCCCAGCCTCACTTCCTCATAAGCACAGAGGTATCCTTTCTATAGGAGCTGCCCACATGGAAAAGAATATGAAAGAAAATTTATTTTATACCTTGTTTAACATGAAGTTCCATTAAAAATAGTTCATTCTCTAGAATGTTGAGCATTCTTCACTATTTCTTCTTTGTGTTAATATAATATACTTGGTTCAAAATATCTCATTTTCAAAAGGGTTCCATACTAACTGAATTTGTAATTCTTTCAGACTGTAGAATTGAAAAATGCAGTCTATTTAATTATCAGCAATCTGTGTCATCTACACTGGAGTTTAGAAGTATTCTAACGATTAATAAATCTCCATTCATTAAATAGAGTTAATTCAATAGCCATCATTCAACTAGTTCCTTCTATGCAGGGCTGCCCAGGATAGTTATAGGAAAGGGAGGGCAGAGAAAATTCCTGAACTGACTTCTCCTATTTCCTACCTTCCTGGAAAGGAGGCAAAAAGTGGCAGAGCTCTGCATCATTTCCTTGGAAAGCTGCTTTTTGAGGCTTAGGCTCAGTCTAGAGTTCACCTTCTCCCAATGATGAAGCGGCACTGTAGCCATCTGAACTGTAACCCTGAGGAATGTTTTTAGGATGACAGCTCAGTTAGGAACCACTTTCCATCATCCTGTCCTTTCTCTGATGTTGCACATGTTCAAGGAGGGTCCTTGTCTAAGGCCTTTGCAAGGAGACCTGGCAGGCTGAATGAAGCCCATGGGCTGGAGGTTCTCCAGCACTAGATGGCACTGAATTATGGAAGACCAACAAATCAGAGGCGATCTATGTCTTTCTCCACAGACTGTTCCACAGCTTGGGAGCAGCCATTGAGAAGGTCCTCTATTATGTTCCCACCAGACATACCAACAGTGGCAGTGGGGCTGAGTGAAAGACCTTTTCTCAAAATCTTAAAACACTGACAGAGTTGAATAGGAAAATACACTCTTTCAAGTCGACTGGCTTTGTAGATAATAAGCAGCACTTTAATTGTGCTCAGGGTCACAGCCTGGGAACAACATTCTGGATCAGCTGAACAATTTGAACACTTCTCAGAAATGGCACCACATAGAATGCCTTACAGCAGTCCAGATACAATACAGTTACATCATGCATGACCATGACCATATCTGATATCTCTAGGAATTGGTGCAGTTAGCACACTCGCCTGAACCATGCAAGTGCACTTTTGGCCACTGTTGAAACCTGAGCATCCAGATTCAGACTTGAGTCTAGAAGTATCCCTGAACTATGAATGTAACCCAAGTCAGAAAGGAAAACTAATTAGCAGCAAGACTAAGCCTCAATGGAACTGGTATGCCAATATGTAAGATTATCTAAACAACCCTGTGCACTACATATTAAACATTGTGTGTAGCTTGCTCATAAAACCACAAAGGGACAATAGGCTTATAATTTTTTATGTGAAGTTTTTAAGCCACCAGAAAGGCATAGCTAGACATCACATGTATGCATCTTCTGGATATAAACTTCAGGGAATTATCCAAAGAAGCCCTGTTGCTTAAAATGAACTAACAGAACAATAATATGCTTGTCCCACTGTATTTAGTGGGGCTTATAGCCCAGCAAACAGGTTTAGGATTGCAGCCAAAGAATCATATTAAAATGTAATAGCCCCTTAGCCCAAGAGTTTGTGAAGCATTGCAAGCAGTGCAAAGTCCAGATTTCCTATCCTCTGCCAGAGTTTTATAGGCGTCCAATATACCACATGTAGATCAACTAGGAGTCTAACTCTAAGAGCTTAGAGAACCAAGCCCTCCAGTTTGAGGAAGGGATCTATCTGCAGTTTGCTATAGGCAATTTCAGGTTTAAGTAAGATATGCTGCAATTTTCTTAAATATCTGATCCATTTCTATTCTGTGCTTTCTGAAATTATTGGAAGTCATAAGTTTATGGGATCTGAGCTAAGTGGTCCGGAGGACCTGGACCTCCTCCCTGTAAGCTGGAGGACTGTATGTGAGAATTCTACCTCCTTGTCTTTTGGCAAGGGCATCTAAGTACAGCGTCTAGTTTAAACAAAATACTAATAGATACTATTGTGCAATGATACAAAGCCTGAACAGTTGTCATACTGTTCAGGGGGGACTTGGGGTGCTGACATGGAAAGAGGTTGCTTTGTGGGGCAAAGTGAGTCTTTTCCTTCCACCAAGCCTAGCTGGAATTTGCTATCATGTTTTTCTGATCCCATAATGGAAACCATATTTTTATTATGATTTGTTGCCACTGGCTTACATTTGATTTTGTTTCCTTTAGCAAGGAATTCAATTTAGAAGTGATTATTTTTGACAGTTGAACTGTTATAATTAACTATCAACATTTAATGAATTTTTAATGCACCTGGAATGGTCAGCTTTGTAAAACTGGTTTTATCTGCTTACACTTGATAGGCATGATTATTCACTTGTTTCAGTTTATTAAGAAGCTTGATTAAGGCAAGAATCCATTTATTAAACCTAGCAGTTAAGAAATGGAAGAAAATGGATTAGAAATAAAAACTATGAAGTATAATCAACGTATAAATGTTTCTGTTGTATTTTTTTCCCTCTAGTTAGGTATCAGTCAGGATAGATTTTTTCATCTGAATATTCTAGCACTATATTAATTAATAAAAAGGTATCAATACCTTTGATATTTGCTAACTTCAACATATTTAGATGCCCTAAATTCATGTTCAACTTTGAACATAGATGTTTAATATAATTTTAATTGCTTCAGAATAATAAA